AACACACATCTATTGTTCTGGGCTTTTTCTCTTCTCTGTATCAGGTGTTGTATTGTCTTTAAAAGATCTGTGGAGTGCTCATACCAGTGATTTCAACTTTTACTCAGTGATATTTCATAGGAGCAAATAGGGACACAGGCTAGTTGTCTACTTTTCAGGTCATGAAAGTGAAGCAGATGCTTATTGATGCTGTTTTTTCACATGTAATTTTGAAATTATTTTCATTTTCTGTTAAAATGCAAGGACTTAAAAGCTATACCTCAGAACAGTACTGTTAATGAGGAAACCATATTTGTTTATATAAAAGCTGGTTAAAAGATAAAACCAGAGTTTGTGGTCTACTTTTTACCTTCAGTTTTTAATCAAGAAAATAAGACCAATAGATAAGCTTTCCTGCACACCTTTGAAATATCTACGCCAGGCTTCACTTTGAAGGAAGAAAGTCTGTACATTTCCCCAAAGCTGTATTACCTACCTCAGGGTGTGCAGCTGCAGTGATTGCAAATCCAGTAATAATGAGTCAATTATTTTACAGTCCTTTCTCTAAATTGATTAAAAGGGTCCCATTTTCAGTTCCAACTGTGTGTTGTTTTGTGCTACTGACTATACCACCTAGAGACCTAATGACTTTACTAATTTAAAAAATGCTACTAGTTAAGAGTTAATTTTGTGTATAAATGCATTTTTGTGTTTAATTTTTGTGTATAATTGGGATTTATTTTTTTTCCTCTGTCTTTCTCCCATCTATACATTGTAATAAATTGAAGATACAGCTGTTTCATGCCTTCACTTTCCAGGATGGGTAAAGGTATTTTAGGATAGTTTTTGCAGGCAGACCTATGGTGGTTCTGCTGAGTGTCACTGTGGCAGGAGACATGTGAGCTGCTGTCCAAAACCCAGTGTTCCTTAGTGTGGCTCTGTGCTCCCAGCAGGACTTTGTCTTAGTGTGAGCCCAGGACTGGGGTTGTGGCAGTGATACTTCAGGAGGAGACCTTTGGGAAGTGCTTGGATCAGAGCTTATGTACATCTGGTAGCTGGGTAAAATGAGACCAAATCTACAGAAAAGCTTAGAAAGAGGTTTTGTGTTTCCCACAGGTAAATCCAGCACAAGACTTGAGAGCAGTCCATGAAGAAAGATCTACACCTCCTATGTCTTGTCTGACACTTCAAAATTATAGTCTGGGTGAAGACTTTATTTGGGCCTATAGAAATCAGGCCCTTGGGTTCTACATTGAGGACTGCACTGTGGTTCTTAAGCCCAGCTGTTATTCAAGCAAGGACTGTGTGAACATGCAAGAAATGATCTGTGACGCCTGAAATTACCAGTTTTAGGATTATCCTTACCAATAGAACAAAAGAAGACCAGCTGTTTTGAGATCAGAGAATAGTAAGAATGTTTGCTGACTGATGAGAAGTTCACTGACTTGTGAGAAGTAAAACATCTCAAAAACTATAACAAGTCCTTGTAAATGTATATCTGAATTACAGTTCTTATATTCCACAAAGCTGATGCTGAGGAGTAGGAGAAACCATTTTGCTTAGAACAATGTAGAATCATCTGCAGTGGAGTGCAAATGGGATCAAACTGAGAGAAGAAGAAATTAGGCTGTGTGTCAGGCATTATGAACTAAGAGTTATTTGACTGTGAAAGAGCTTCCCAAGGGAAATAATACAAGCCACATTATTTGGGACACCTAAAATTAGACTTCAGAAAGCACTAAAAAAAGTGTACAACCTTGCTTTTGTAGGGAGGTGGACTAGAAAAGGCAGGGTTTGGGATTTTCTTCTTTTTTTTGCAATTAATTCTGCAATTGTTGGGCCTGATTCTGTTCTGTGGTGTTTAAGTCAAGCTAAGATTTACATTGCTTCTTGTCTTAGCAAACTGAGGCTAAACACATAGGTTTCTCCCTTCCACCTATTGCTGACTTTTGAAACTATATCTTTTCATTTCTGTCCCTCAGGGATAGTTCAGATCCTGCTCTTCCATGTATATGTATATTTAGAGTAGTGGAGAAAGCACATTGCCTTAAGGATGTTTTTTGACATTTCCCTCTTGTCTGGCTCTTATCAGACATTAGAACTGATCAATATGATATTCCTTTCTTTTTTTTCTGATTCAGAATTTATTTAGTTTATAATGTGAAAATCCATAACCTCAGCATGTTCCAAAGTTATTGTGTGAAATTGCCAACAGAATGAGGGGAGAAGCAAATGAAATATGGCCTTTAACCAAGGAACAAAGGCCTCCAAGTAATGTGTGTTGACATAGTGAAATTGTTGCAGTCTTCTCCATAATTTTCTTTCAATACAAACCACTTCAGATAGCTGCAGTAATACAAAAGAGGTTCTCATAGCAAATCCTACATATTAAAAATTGTAGATCGTGCAGTTATGACTAAATCCTAAGAGCCAGTTGTTTTTTCTTGTAAGTTAGCTTGAAGATGCCTGCCTTTATTGACATACAGTGTCTACTTCTGAGAGTGGCAGCACTCCTTTCAAAGCCCACTTGAACAAAGAGAGCCCTTATGTGGAAAATGGTTCTTCATTGTGTAGGCAATACCCTGTAACAGTTGTGGTATAAAAAGCATGACTTCGCCTGTGTGCACAAAACCATGCCAAGGTCAGAACATCAAGCCTCTGAATTTGTGGTAAGAGACAAAAGAAGGCACATATGCAGAATTTTCTGAAAGATGGTTCATTTGTAGAGGATTTGAAACAGCATAGGAGGAAATCTCCACGGTGTCTAGAGCATTTCATTTGAGGGCTGTTTTTTACTGCTCCCTGAAATGCATTTTTTCCTGCTGTCACTGGACAGGAGGATTCAGGATATGGGAGTGGGATACAGGGTGAACACTTCCTCTGCACTGAATAGATGGTCACACAGTTCCTAGTCCTGGAATTTAGGCTGCGTGGTTTGGAAGAATGGGTGCTGGGGCAAGGACTGGTGGAGAGGCAACTAGAAAAGTCACCTGATGGCATTTCAGATAGTGACTTCTAAATACCAAGATCTGATTCCCATTTCCTTTCTCTCACTGCTGCTTGCCTCCAGTGTGCTTTACCTCCTGCTGCCATGCATGTGGTCTGCCACAGAAGCGTGGGTTGTATTTTTTTTCTAATTTGACTAGGAGCATATTTCCCAATCTAAATCCTTAATGAAGACAAAAGGCCTGTATTGCAGGGTAGGAAGATACTAACCCGAAACATATTATTAGCTGGGAAGACTCATTCTCCTTATGTCTGTTTTTGAATGGCTTAACTGAGGGAAAGAGATATCTACTGTTAATGGATTTTTGAATAGAGCAACAATGATGGTGGAACGCTGGAGACACTGTGAAGCCAGCTTTCTTGGAATGTTTCCTTCAGCAGTTATTAAAGTGATTGTAACCAATTCTGTTAAAGATCAGGGTGCTTTGATATGTTAGTCCCTTGCATAGCAATCTCTCAAGGGAGGAAGCGAGTGTTTCATAGGCTCCATGTTTCATCTCCCACAAAGTATTTTACAAGATACAGCAGAAGGAAAATACTCAGGTATTATCTGGATATTGTTCACATACACTAAGTAGGAAGTGAGCATTTTAGCTTCATTGCCTCTTCCAAACTATCCCTCTAACAAAACAGCCAGGTATTCTCCTGAAGACTGCAACTTGCCTCATTTCTATGTTGTCTTCTCTGCTGAACTTTTCTAGATTTAACTTTTGTGCCTCCTCCTTATACTGGTGATTCTGGATAAGCATAAAGTGCATGCTTTAAAAAATGAAGGGAGAAATGAGGGGAATAGGGCCTGGGAATTGTGGTCCTTTCAACTTAACATCAATTTCTAGTAAAACATCAAAATGAGAAAAATGTTTTGAAATCCTTGGAGAAGACAGGAAAATGAATTCTCACCTATGGATATGCGTAAAGAGCAAATCTGTCAAACCAATGTAATTTCTTGCTAAAATAAAGCCTTGCAGAAAGAAAAGATATAGCAGATGTCATATTTTGCATTATTCTAGGGCTTTTGACACTGTTTCACATGACATTATGAAGAGTCTCAGAAGATAGTCATGACACAATGGATGTAAAACTATATGTAAAACCATATTCAAAGAGTCCAAGAGTCACTAGCAAAAGAACTTACCAAGTATGGCTTGCAGAAAGCTCTCTTTGGCACTGCCTAGGACTTTCACTTGCAACTTTACTGATGAAATACAGGAGTTGCTTGTTAACTTTACAGATGACTAAGAGGGGATGCAGTCATGCCGAGGGCTGGGTTAGAGATGAAAATCAGTGAGTGATGTGCTGTCATTCTGCAGGAGATTTAAAACAAAAAAAGCATATAGCTTTTTTATAAATATATGTGTCTGTATTGTCAGCGTAAAAAAGAACTGTGAAAAGTTAACATCTAAAAATGACAAGAAAAACACGGGTGATTTTGAGATTCGAAATGTCTGGTCCTTACATGCTATAATTTGGTAATGGAAGCTTTCATTTGTAGAATAATTTCTTCATTTATTATTCAATCATTGGGGGAAGTCCCTCTTTTTTTTCTTATTTTTTCTTTAAACACTGAGCAAGTCCACTGAACCTTATAAATTTCCTTACTCTGTTGTTAGAACCGCAAACCTCTGGCATAAAAGTCAACAGAGTTTTTGTCCCTGCAGGAGTGTCTACATGTGGTCGGCTGTGATTTGTTCTCTGCGGAATTGCATTTCAGGGCCATGGGCTAGATTAAGGCAAGACATAATAGTTAAAGTTGGACAGGCTGGCATCTATGTGTTTGGTACTCATGGCACTTGTCCAGATCTATGAGCTTGCTCTTTAGATGAATGTTGTCATCAGATAACTGTAATGAGGCTGTTCGTACTGTATTTTTGGAAGCAGTGCAGTATAAAAGTCTTCAGTCTGCCGAGAGCTAGATATTTGGCCAATCTTCAGCTTGCAGTGTATAAACACATTCCTCTTTGTTTTTTCTTTTTATTCTTCCCACTTTTCTTTCTCCTCCCTTCCTTCTCCTCAAGGACATAGACTTTGGCTATATTTTTCATAGTTACGTGAAGATAGAAATCTGAACGGATGCCTGTGCCGCCACCACCACCTCCTCCTCCACCACCTCTACCACCCTCTGGAGGGCCTCCTCCACCACCACCTTCTGGAGGGCCCCCTCCACCACCACCTTCTGGAGGGCCTCCTCCACCACCACCACTGGTAAGATTGACTTTTTATTTCTATTAGGAAAAGCTTAGCTATAGTAGCCAGCTCGGAGCCCACAGGATTTTGGCATGGATATTCACATCAAATACCTGAGGCAGATGCTTGTTTTGCTGGCATTTGTTCTTCTGTTCATTACAGCAGTGATCTCCAAAGTGATGTGTGTGAGATGACTCATTAATGTGCAGGAAGAAAACACTAGAACTTCTGTCATGCTCGTGTATGATTTATAAATAAATAAACATATGTATACTGGGGTGCATGCTCAAAATTTCTTTTACTGTTGGGGTACAGGATCAAAACATTTGGAAACTATTGCATTATGTGAAAATATGGTGAGAATTTAACATTTATGAATACTTCTCCTGCCACAGGGAATTCATTTTTGTAATGGTAATGTGCAGGGTGGTAAGTATTAATTTCTTCATCCTCTTTCTTACAGTTCCTATTAAGACTTACAGTGTTCAGCTGTAAGTTTTGCTCTTTCTAGCACACGCTGTCTTCCTGGGGACAGAGTACAATATGCTTTTGTACATGTGCAGGAACAATTACTGCTTGTAACAGATCATTACTGTGTGTGTCATGAAGTAGAACATGTGCCTTGCCAGCATGTTTGCAATAAGACGAGGATTCTCTGAGTGGACTTTCAGAGTATTACATTTTCATACCTTCACAATCAATTATTGTACCTATGGTAAAACACGTTTAAATACTTTCTTTTATTCTGCAATCAATTGGGCATAGCCTGTTTCTGCTTTGAAACTCTTAAGACTGTTTTTGAAACAGTAAAACCTGGCATAGTTTTGTTCAAGTCATAAAATCTTTTCTGACTTTTTTTCATATATTTTTCTGTCACTGTTGTACTTATTTGCAGGGTATGTTAGTCCCTGTAGTAAAACAGTACATGGTACTTCAGCTGTAATTCTAGCTTTTTTTTTTTTTTTTTAAGACCTTCATTTCTCTGTTGCATTTCCTGGCATCTCTGCCTGTTTTGTTCTCAGGAAGGTCTGTTGATTTTGTTTGATAATGTTCATAATGCTCTCATGTCATCTTTTTTTCCAGAAGGAGGTTTCCTTGCATATTGCTCTCTGCTACTTTATAGGCTGAACCATTCTGTAAAACTCTCCATGAGTTGTGGAGATAAAGAAGAGGAATATAAAGACAGCAAATGAAATAAGCAGTGTTTGATTCTTTCTAGCATTCAGTTTTAACTTTGGCACCATGAGCACTGTTTTCAATTAGCAATTCTTCTGGGCTGGTACACAACCTATAGTTAAATGCTGAAATAAGTGGGCTGCATATTGTGAACAGCTTAATGTTCACAGCTGCAATTAAAGTCAACAGAAGCTGCAAATGTTCTTATCCTAAAAAACTGAACTTCTTAAAGTATCTAGAGACATTTTTAGACTCCTAACATATGCCAATTGTGAATGACTTGGGAAAGCTAAGAGGACCCCTAAGGACCACTATGAACAAGTTTGGGGTTGTTTGTTTTTCCTCCTTTTCTGATGACTAAAACCACTACCATGATAGGGTTTTGGTACAAGAAGGCCTACTTTCATATGTTAGTTAGATCATTCTGTTTCAAGTGGGGTGATCTGTGCATAAAATACAGACAATTTAGAGTCAGTTTTATCTTGGTGATACGATACAAACTAAACGTATTTCTAAATAATGTCTGATATTAAAATAATCTAAATAAATCTAAATAATGTCTGATATTTTAGTAAGTGTTAATACTAAAAAGAGCACATGAACCAACATAAATAATTAGTAAAGTAATATGGCAGAACATTGTTTTTTCTGTAACAGCAAAATGACCTTTCCCTGTCAAAACTGAATGAGAGACAGGATCTGAAATCTGCCTGGTGAGTTCAGCAAAAGCACAGTGTGTCAGCTCTCTAGCTGGTGCCAAGTTACAGATTAAAATCTTACAGTTGGGGAGTCCACGAACACTTGCTACAGACCCTATTTTCTTTTACTAGAAAGCTCTTTTCTAGAAATTGGCATCTGTATTTTACAGTTGCTAAGCTGCCCAGCTGTTGTTACAGCTGTTAAATTTACTGTTGGGGGATGAAAGAAGGAAAAATTTTAACAGGCATGTAGCTTTAAGGAAAACCTTCAAACCAAGTAAGTATTGTTTGGCCAGCAGCTGGAAAAGTTCCAAAGTAAACAGCACTGTGATTTTTATTATACTAGTATAATTAAACCAGAGTAACATTTACATGTTAGCAATTAAAAGTTAGGTTTTAATTTCACTTCTGATATGCAGGTGAGCCACTAGTTTAACTTACTTGATTTATGTTAAAAGAAAAATGTCTGTGTGTAGGGCGGAGTCCTAGAATCCTGTCGTTTTGCATGGTGCCCTTGCAGGGGTACCATAGACTTGTCTTGCTTTTCTAGTTATGGATAATAACCATACTTTCCTCTTGCTTTCATTATCAAGAGATTTTTAGAAGATGTAGTTCCCACATTTTCTCTGCACATTTTCTTTGTGAATATTGTGAGCCATGATCCCAAATAATTTTGCAGTCTTTGCTTTGTGGAAATTCTAAGCACTGTTGGCACTTAAATTTTTTTTCTGTTAACTCTTTCTTAAGGCAGAATAAAGTTAGGTTCTTTCCTACTGTTTTCTAAGATTTTTTGGACTTGCTGATGTTCTGTAAGTATTTGTACTGAATTCTGCTCACAAAATTTGTTGCAAGGCAATACTAAAGTGAATTGGAGATGGTATTTAAGACATGCTAGGAGCCACCTGTGCCCAACAGCTGAAAAGCTACAGGCTGTTAGAGCAAACTTAGAAGAAAATACAGTGGATTTCACAGGAGGGAATACTAGGGTATCTGCCATAGCAGATGTAGGTGGCTGAGTCAAAATGTAAATATAGCTAATTGGATTAATTGAGTGTGTCTTCAAATGCCTGCCTTCAGGAGGTCATAGATAAAGATGAGAGAGATGAGTAGGCAGAATAAAACTGTGCCCCAGTGTGTTTTCTGGCACTGGCTTACAGAATTCAGATCTGTTCTTGTTCACTTTTCCCCTCTCCCTTAATAAAGGAAACTTGGAAATGAGGCATTAATGTGTTTGTTCAAAAGCTGTTTCAATTTATGGGCATGTGTGTGTCATGTAAGGTGAGTTTTTTAATAGGGTTTTTTAGTTGTTCTGGGGGAAGAGGGTGGTGTGTTTAGAGTATTTTAAAGTTTTCTGCTAATGAAAAACTTCTTTTTATTCCCCCTCTGTTTCTTTTAACACTCTTGTCTTTTAGTTTGGCATATGGCATCCTGGTTAGTTTTGGTTTGTCATACTTTCTGGAGAAGGCGCCACCACTGAGACTGATTAAAAGTTTTCTTTGCCTAATTTCCCAAGAAAAGCATCAAGAGAGAATTTTGCTTTGATAAACCATGTTCACTTTTCATGTGCAGTGAAGGCTGCTCACTGCCGTGTAGCCTGCATATATATGAATTCTTAATGCTAAGACCAGTCATCACCTATTAAAATGTTAATGTTGAAGGAAGCGTGGATGTGTAGCAGCCCTGCTGGGTTGTGCCTTATTCAGAGAAGATGTTTGTTTAATGATTCATATGTTTGTGGAGTTTAGGAAAATACTTCTGTTCTCTTTAGAATTGTTATTATTAAAGTCTTAGCATAGAAATTAACCCCCAAAATCACAACGGATCAGATGGTTAAAGCCAATAAAATGGCACCAGGTGTTTATTTGCTGCCTTATGGCATATTGAAAACTAGTATAGCAGGAGAAGAAAGGAATATGCTTACTTTGGTGATAGAAATGTGAAACTCAAAATAATGATGAATGCTAGACTGGCATGTAGATTATTCCTAATGATTACCTCATTCTTATTTAGTTAAAATTAAAAAAAAAAAAAAGAATTACTGTTGTCAGTGTTTGCGAAGTTTGTTATTCTGATCTTATTTTCTACTCTTGTAATAAGAAATTCAGAAAAGCAATTCATCATGATATAACACTGTGATAAATGCCTACTTTACACAGAGGAAGGATTTCCAAGGCTCAGAAAAACATCACCAGATAGTGTTCCTTTTGCGGAGGGGGGGAGGGTTGGTTTTTTCTCTCCTTCGTGCAGCTGTTAGAGTGCAAACCTTGCTGAGCTGTTTCCTTCAATCTTCCCAAGAAATTCAGAGAGCTCCAGTGTTTATCTGAAGTTGTGTGGGAGTTGGTTTTGCTCCTATGACATTTAGCACTACTGTTCTGTGGAAAGAGAACAAACAACATATGTAAAACATCCTGGCTGAAGATAATGATGATTTATGGTATTTTGATTTGGTATTGCCAAATATAGTATGAGAGAATGTGTGCATACGCATAAATGTTTGGGCATACTTGCTAATTATTTATTGTAAAAATTAAGGTAATTTCTCAAGTTTTCATTCAGAACCCTAGACATGCAAGTGTAATACTGAAAGAACAGAATCATGCATGGTGCCAATTACAAAATATGTAGAAATGTGTTTACTAAAATTTTATGCGAGCCGTGAGTAAGGTGATATTTATTACTTTGTCATGGAGTTCCTAGGCCAGGAGGTACTAAATCAAAATGTTTATTGCTGATAGGTAAAACAGACTGGAGTGAGAGGGAGTGCAGCTTGGTAATTTTGTTGATAACTGACGGTCATACAGACTGTGCTAAGTGCTGGGCAAAGCATGGCTGGAATTTTTGAGAGTGTTTTGTTCCAGCCAAAATAAAGGAAACTGATTTATAATATTTTAATATATCATATCTCACACCAGTCTGCTTTCATAAAAAGCAAGAGGCAATTATGTAGAAAAAAAAATGCTTTGTCTTTGTGTGGTTTATTTGACTTAATTTTCAGCAACTGGAAAATGGGGAACTGCATAGCTGTGTCATCTCAAAGTGTTGCTGCTGTAACCTTCTACTCTTGAAGTCAACAAATACAGAAAGGGCAAGCGGGAAGTGTGAAGATGTAAAGAAAACATAAATACTAGGTTGGCATTGCTCTGT